AAAGACCCAAGATTCTCTGGGAATCTATTGTCTTTGTCTGTCACCTTTACATAGTCAGGAATTGATATTTGTCGGATGATCTTATTCTCTGGTTTCTTTCCATATCAAGTACGAATAGTAGTAGTATAATGCTGCACAGTAAACAATTTCGAATGGGATCGATACTAATGCACGTATTTGCACTTAATTTCTCTTTCAAAACTGTTACACATTTTGGGCATGTCCACCATAGGGTTTGATATTTTATGCAACGTCCAGGTCTTTCGGTACCAAACCTTTGCTTTTCCTTTATCATTTCTGAATTTTATTTAGACATTAGTTCTACCTAATCTAAATTGCTTGTCTTGCGGTCCCATTCCAAGTAAAGATATCACGAGGAAACAGCCGAATATCTGCAGATAATCTCTTTTTTTAAATCAGAGAACATGTATGCCAATCTCTGATCCCATTTGGTTCCAATTTCGAACACATGCCACAAACACACCCACCCACCCACCATGTAATAACAATAATTTGTATGTTATGCCAATGTAAAGTCGGGAAAAGTTTGATTCATCGAATTCTGACAAACGTTACAAATTTGTCAATGGTAGTACTGATTTGATCAAGGCTTACTGATTGCACGGAATGAAAATATTGTTGAACATATTTGGCCTATATGACGTCGAGATTTAATGTATGTATGCCTTTTGTTTGGTAATAATCTTTGTGTAAGTGTGTGTGTGTGTGTGTGTTAGAGAGAGAGAGAGAGAGAGAGAGAGAGAGAGAGAGAGAGAGAGAGAGAGAGAGAGAGAGAGAGAGAGAGAGAGAGAGAGAGAGAGAGAGAGAGAGAACTGCATTAAATTATGACGAGTCTAAGATACAGGCCAAGACTCTGAACATTGATATACCCCTGATATTATCAGAGTAAGTATCGAAAGCATGTATTGATGAAACAATGTACTTGCTCATTGAATCCACTCAATCCCTGAAGCTAAAATTTCTGGATGAATTACGCAATATGAAATAACACCTACAGAGATAAGACAGTAACGGTATGAATGTTTTCTCTAGACATTTATCATGCTTTCTACTTACAGTTATAGAATGCTGATAAAAAGCCAGTAAACCGTGAAAACTTTCACCACAAAAAAGGCAGATATGTTTGAAACTTAGAAGAGAAATGGCGAAAGCCAAGATATAACCGAATACACTATTTATTTCTGTTAAATTTCTTCCCAATATCATGGCGCCAGATTTAATCAAAACCTGAAATTCTCGTGATCGAATTTCACTATATCTCAGTTTATATGCTTTATTAGAATAAATGTATAAAAGAAATTCACGTTGGTAAATATAACAAAATTATTATAGATAATGCCTTTGTTTTGAAAAGTTTTTAAAATGACCTTCACATAAAGAAAACTTTACCTTGGTTAGAAAATAGTCAAGTGTCTTCTTAAATGAATTCCTTATATTGGCGCTTTATCTATATCATATTTTGACCAGAAACAACATGAAATATTACCTATTGATCGAGTTTAACATCTAATATTAGAAGTCTAGACTTTACGTCATACGTAGAAAAATAAAAACAATTGTTATCGACATGTAGACATCACGTGCACAGACATATTGCAAAGTTCCTGAACTTAAGCTTGCAAGGTAATAACAAATTACCTGACTAAGTTTGTTAGCATTGTGTAGCTAATGGTGTCATTCTTGCGTTTTCTACGATTTAATGTTGATATAGTTAAAAAAAATATTTCAAACTTTGGTGTACAATTTCAATACAATGCAATTAATGCCAGACATTTTTTGTCTCAGTCACAAATTAAGTTAAATTGTATTCGATTGTTGACTTGTACTCAATTTTCTTGACTCCCACATTAGACTATCATCATTTCTCTCTCGAAGTGGATCTTATACTTTCTATCCGAAAACAAAAACATATTGAATATAATATTGTATGCTTAAGATAATCATGAAATTAAAATAATCAAACAATTCCAAATACTTAACCTTATTGATTTAAAATTTGTGGAAAAATTAATTAGAAAAGCTATATAGTTATGTTGCTATTATCAGTGTTCAATGATGCATGTCCCACTTTCGTCTACAGCTCCTATACCTCTCATTAAAAATATGGTTTGTTTCCAGGTTTCGTCTATTGCTTCTATACAATACTGTCCCATCAAAAATGTTGTATGTAACCCAGTTTCGTCTATAGGTATAGTACGACACTGTCTCTCATCAAATCTGGTGTGTCTCCTAGTTTCGTATATAGCTTCTATTCAATACCTTCTCTCATTTAATAATGTGGTATGTCTCCCAGTTTCATTTACCGCTTCTATACAACAACATCTCTCATCGTACACATAATAATAGCGATACAATTTGTGCCTATTAAAGACCGACAATATAAAGAAATGTTACTCAGAAAAATCTAAGCAATGTGTTTAAAATAACTGATGAAGGAAGATCACATTTTTTCGGATGTCTTCATATGCCAGAGTAACCTCAATGATTTAAGATTAGTCTCCTTAAAGGTTACAATCGGTTCAAGAACTTTCATGGCTTCTTCGGGTCAGATCTAAAGACTTCCAATAAGTCTCATTGTTGTTATTTAAATTAGTTATTATCAGTTATTTTATAAAATAAGCATGATAAAACCAAACCAGATAACGTGCATTCAAGCCAATTGTGAAGACAAGAGGGAGATTTGCTGTCAATGGACTCAATTATAGTACTGGTGGCCATTTGGAAGTTTTGGAAATCCGCAATCTAAGTATGAACTCTCGTCTGAGCATCCGGGATCTAAGTATGAACTCTCGTCTGAGCATCCGGGATCTAAGTATGAACTCTCGTCTGAGCATTTCATCCCTCAGCTCCCTTGTTATGAATGTTCCCTAGTAGTGGTAAAAATTCCAAAGAGACGTTGATCCAAGGGTTCATCACTTGGATGGAACGGGTTGAAATGCTCAAGAGTTTTTTTATGCATTTATATATTGCCTTTTTATGATTTTTAACAGGAAACATAACAAAATGAAAATATCGAATGAGGTAGCATTTGTACTAACTTGTTAAGGAATATACGGTATAGACGATGTTTAAACATATTTTATCCAACCATTTTTCTTTTTATGTACCTATTTCGTTATTTACTAATACCTTGAAATAAACGAATTTATATAGTATATAATTAATTGTCTACTTCTGAAAGAATATATATATATATATATATATATATATATATATATATATATAATATCAACACCTTAAAACCATGTTATGTACCTTTGTTCGTCCGTTTTCCTCTCAGATTTTTCTTTCCCATTTATCTTGGTTCGTCAGGTATGTACCTATGCGATGTTTTCTTCTGGAGTATATATTTATTGTTATGTGTTTTCCTTTAACTATTTTTCTGTGTTTTTCTTCGAAAAGTGGTTTGTGATGATTGAGTTTGACGGTGATAGTTTGATGTTAAAAACCAGAGTTTATTTTATTACAGGTGTGAAATATGTTTGTTTCCAACATTCTCTCTCTCTCTCTCTCTCTCTCTCTCTCTCTCTCTCTCTCTCTCTCTCTCTCTCTCTCTCTCTCTCTCTCTCTCTCTCTCTCTCTCTCTCTCTCTCTCTCTCAAAGCTGAAAGAAATCTTAACCCCATATTGTCTATAAAGTCTCATCTAGTATACTTTTAGACCATGCTTACATACGTTAAAGATAACAAATAGTTCCAAACACATTCAAATGTTTTAGGCAGATATCTTTTATACAGACTTGTTGACTTGATGGTGTTACTATGTCATGTTATATATGTAATTTGACGTCATGTTATTTGTGTTCTTTTGACGTCATGTTTTGTTTACTTTTGTTGTCACATTAAATTGCCGTTTGTAAAAAGCGATATTCATTTGTAAATTTTCAGTATTAAAAGAGAAGATTATTTTCTTTTCAAAACCTTGGTATAAAATTTCAACTATAGAAAACTTGTATGACTGTCAGCCCAAATCTTTTTGTTTCTCACATACATGTATTTGCATTTTTGTATAATGGATCGATTATCAGTTAAAAAACTTATATCTTGAATTGTCTTTTTTGGGATGGTTTTCGTCTCTAATAGCTCACAAGTTTAGACCAACATCCATCGCATCGATCAAGATCTACCGTTGGACTAGACCTATACGCGAGTATTAATAGAACTATTTTGGAAGTGGTTTGTAGGTTTGAGAATTGGTCACCAGCAGTACCGGATTTACCAGTGTGTTTAGGTGTGCTTAAGCACAGGGCCCCTTTGGCTGGGGTGGGGGTAGGGCTATCGTCTTGGTTAAAAAAAATTATGATGAATTTTTTAAAAGTCTGTGGCTGTTTTAATTACTCCTGAATTTCCTGAGTATATATGCCTGACTAACTGTGTAGGTCTACTGGGCCTACCTCCTTCAGGGTCCAAGTAAGGGGCCTCATTGCTTAGCTAGCACAGGGTCTCATCTGTCCTATATCCGGCACTGGTCACCAGAATGTTATTTAGTTATGGTAGGTATGTGTTGCCGTTGTTATGTATATTCAATTTTTATTGTTTGCGGCCATTCTCAATGACTATATGTTATGTATATCTGTATTTTGTTATTGGCCTTTGTCCAAAATCAAGTTAATAATCTATCAAACAAGCGATATTTATTATATATGTAACATAATACATTGTTAATATTTCTAAACATTACGTATTTAGATCAATATAAATAAAGGTAAACACGTTTTGCTTGAAGTTTGGTTTCGACATAATATATATGATTTTATTTTTAGATTTTTAAAGTAGCTTCAACAATTTCAGTCATATAACAACGATGGCCTCAAGGTGGCAGTTTGTAGCGATCTCTAGCACTGTGACATCACGCCGCAGACATGTATCATCATAACCCTCCCAGTTACATTATCTCGACACCAGGTTTACCTGTCCAGACATTAACCTTTTAATACTTAGCGCCAAGTGAGTTAGTTGCTAGTACTATTAGTCTTTCGTATGACTCGGCCGGTATTTCAACCCACGACCTCCCGCATCTGAGGCGAACGCTCTAACCACTGGGACACCTGAGCGGTTTTTTGGAAAAGAAACTGTCATACATCCTGACTAGTATTCTGTCTTCGCATTCTATATTGATGTTTACTTCAAAATAATTCATTACCGCGTTAACATTAGAAGTACAATTAGTCTTATTGTTGTCTTCAAATAAAATTTTAATTTTGATGGATTTATTGATTTCAAATATTTACTGGAATTATAAAGATTTTAATAATACTTCTTGGGCTAAATCATTATTTTAAAATTATTGCGAACTATTTCAAGGACCTTTTGGATTATAGTATTATATGGCATCAAAATACTGCTAGCACATTAGCACATTCGAGACGAATGACACATCAGCATATTCAGTTTTGGATGTTATTTGGAGCAACACTGGAATATATTTAGAACTCAACAAACTTTTATCCCATTGAACTTTCAGGAAAAATTGGAATTTTATTTACATTACTGAAAAATCTTTTACAGTTTTCACTTTTGTATTCTATGGAAATGAATTATTTGTTAAAGTTTACAAAACGTGCTGTTTTTAGCTTTTTTCTGTGAAGCAGTTTTAAGACCATATAATCATAACATTTTGAGGATGTTATTTTTTAAAAAGTATCTTCCGCTTACAGGCAACAAGTAAGGGACAGACATTTTAATGTTTGAGTTCGAAGGAGCATGGATATGGTATATGGGGGTGGGAGTTTTATCAAGATAAATCGATCTCTTTTCAACTAATATTCTGAATACAATAGCGTCTTATGTGTTATAAATCAGCAATAATATTTTAAAGTCATTTGTTTTCAAAACCATTCAGTCCACCCCAACCCATCAATAACCCTCCACCCAAAATGTATTTAAATGTCGGTAACTAAATTCTACACAACTTGAAATTATATCTTTCTGTTGCTTGATTGCTGAGTAGATCTCTGGCCTTTTTCAAATAGACACCATTCAGATATTGGTCCTGTATGAACAATGGACGTCAACGTTACTATAAACATACTTTCTTTACCAGCGTTTGTTTCAATACTGTTCCACTTCGTGCACATGTTTCTGACCTATACATTTTACATATTGTATTAATATTTAAGCACCATAATTTTATTTCACCGATATTATTTTAAAGTTTACTGAACGTAGCACCTTGAGTCTACTTTCCGCATTGTATGGTTTTATTGTCTCAGCCATGATTACGGGTAAACAACGGAGGATCCCACTGTCTTTGACAGCCAAAATTTCAAAGTTAAGAACCGATGTTTGTTGCATGATCACATTATCGGATGTCTTTCCGCATCAAGTTTTAATATTGCTGTATTACTGTACAGTACACAAATAAAATGTTCAATAGGAATGCAAGTAAGTTCTTCAAAAGCTTTACACATTTTGGACATCTGCACCTCAAACTTTGATATTTAATCAACCTCCACGTCTTTTAACACTAAACCTTTGCATTTCCACTACTTTTGTAGCTTCATTTGCACCATAATGATTAGACGGCCTAAATTTCTTGCAGAGAGCTCACAAGGAAACAACCAAATATTGGCAGGACATCCTTTTCGTGAATCAGGGACAAATATTTGATGGAGATGACAATCTCGGATCCCATTTGCTACCACCTTCGAATCATTTCTGCAATACAACACACACACACACGCGCGCGCGCCACACCACACCACACATACACACACTACACAGTATATCACTTTTTCTAAACTGTGATATATTTTAGACCTGTGCATCTCTAATCTTGATATTTTATGCAACGTCCAAGATCTATTGTTGCAGAATTTGGGTGTGTTGGGTTTTAAAAGTACAATAAATACTTAATTAATTACGGACCAAGCATTTAATTTTCAAAGAGGGAGGCAGTCTGGGATTTTCATTTGGTCATATATATGCCTCACTAAAATGCTCAGTTATCATTGGAAGGCATAATTGTAAGTACTTTGTGATTGTTTTTTTTTTTGTAACTTCTTGAAATAAAACGACTGAATATCTTTTGGGAAACGTAAAGTCCAAATATTGTTGTAAGATAAAGCACTGTCGACGAATACTGTTACACGGTACTTTAATAGTTGTTTTAAAACTGAGCATATCTGACCTTGGCATTATAGACAAGATTTAAGTCACCGAGCAGAAGATTCTACTCTTCACGATATAATATAATTTGACGAGTGGACTAAAGGAAAAGGAAAGACAGAAAGGAGAGAAGAATATTTACACGCACCTTATGACTTAACACATATTTTCGCTTGGTTTAATCAAAGCGCAACATGAAAATAATGATTGTTGAATTTGGCCTATATACATTTAAGATTTCATGTCAAACTGCAAGATTATTTTGTAGTGATAACAAAAATGTGCCAAATGAAGAGACATGTTTCTACATTTGATTTTTACGTACACATTCTGTTTACGGCAAATTAAATTACAGTGACATTGAATGAAATGTTTATTACCTAAATTAGTTTTATTATTCTAGATTGAAATCGAAAACAATGAGAAAGATACAGACAGAAAGAGACAGAAACATAGATAGAGTTTAGGATGTAGCGGTTGTATATGTGTGTCTGAGAGAGAGAGAGAGAGAGAGAGAGAGAGAGAGAGAGAGAGAGAGAGAGAGAGAGAGAGAGAGAGAGAGAGAGAGAGAGAGAGAGAGAGATTTTAATGTGTGTGTCTTTACATGTGTATTTGTGTGTGTTCTTGTGTGTGTGTGTCTTGGAGGTGTATAGTTGTGGGTGGGTGTAGTGGTGGGCGTTTGAAAATCTTATTCATTAAAAGGAAAAGAAAAAGAAATAAGGAAACGATTTCCAATACTGAGGCCGTGTTTGTTTTTCATAATACAACAAATTTACATTAAAATTATGTTTTTTTTTCATGATACAACACACGTACGTTAAAATTGCGGTTGTTTTTTTATGATGCAGCACAAGTCCCTTGTTTTCATGATAAAACATATGTATATGGAAATTATGTTCCTTTCTTTCAAGGTTCAACAAATTGCTTTTACTGATGCAGTTTAACACAATTGAGCAAACAAAACTGACCTTTACTGTTGCGATAGGTACACTTGATACATCAGGTCACGGTCAATACGTATATATGCAGTAGATGGTTCATATACTCGGAATTATCGTATTTTCCAAGAGGAGGGGGAATTCGGTTTGGCTACCTGAGATATTTTTATCTTCTTCGCAAGACTTTTGGCTTGTGGTTCCACCTTCATCTCCTCTGATGTTGTCAGTCTAAAATGATTTTGAGAAATAAACGGATGAGTTCGAAACCATCTTGTCACGCAAACAAGAAAACAGATATTTTGTTCTTCAAGAGGTGGATTAGAAGAAAAAAAAACGCTAAGAGGAGAAGAGGAAAGCTTTGGACGGTGAACAGAGGGAAGAGAATGGAAACAAAACTGTTAGTACAAGATGTTTGGCAGAGTTTAAAACACTTGCAAATATGTATCTAATTTTTGTGGAGAAACCTAAGAGCAAATATGTATCTAATTTTTGTGGAGAAACCTAAGAGAAACAGATCTACATTTAAACATGAAACCCCCAATTACACCGATGTCAGCAGCAACGACAGCAACTACCGCTAGTACTACAACCACAGAAGGAGTAGGCCTTGGACAGTTTAAAGTAAATCCTACTGATGCTGTCAATATTCTTAAAACCCATCAGTCCTTTCCAGGGCAATCCAATTCCCTTAAAAATACAGACTCTCTTTAATAATCGCCAAAGTGTATTTTGTATTTGTTTCTGTTAATGTCTTCAACAACAACTTAAACTCACTACACTTCTTTTACGTGATAGTATACGTGGTTTTGTGTATAGTGTTTGTAGGTATTCCTATCCTTGTTTGTACGTGAGAGGAATTTTAACAGAAATAACATATTTCCCAAATAAGTACAAAATACTCCAATTAGGGAAAACTGGCTATTGCAGTAGAACCCCTATTAGGAAAAAATGCTGACTTTTACTGTTGCAGTAATAACCATTTTATTAACGAATCTCCGCTTTACTGTTCCAATAGCTCATATTTCGGTTTCGAAAATGCCTTTTGCACTTTCTATAGCTTGCATTTTAGTGAAGAAACCGCTACCGCTGAATTAGCGTACAATTTTGTGTGAAAACAAAACGGCGTGTTGATGGTATAGTGCGAGTACTGGATAGAAGATCACCGATTACTGAATTGTAGGTAGTTGTGTATTAGCCACTCCAAACGACATGTTGATGGTATAACGTAGTTGCAGGATAGTAGATAACTGTGTTTTGTGTATTGATAACTGGATTTGAATTGGCCCAACAATAATTCGAATCTCACTGGTTGATATTAAATTTCCTTAAGAGATATAGGTATTTAAATTGCCTTTTACATACCCTGTAAACTTATTTGATAATATGTAATAAGAAAAGGACATGGAAATGTTTTTGTCTCGTTTGAACCTCAACACAGTATCTTTTTCGGTACAGACACCAACTTAATTTATTTTAAAGGATCAAGAATGATTGACAGTCTACTATATTAAATAGCCAGGACTATGCTTTGAGACTGACTGTAAAATTCAGAAAACAAACTGTCCAGAAAGCCAAGTAGAAGGTTTCTATAATCATGAAATGATCATATATCACGAAACTATAATTTTTTGAATGGGTTTCTCTTGTTTCAAGTTATTATGACTTATCAGTCAGCCTTTCCAAGAAAAATATTAGAACTTTACGCCACACAATCGCGACCGGTACACAAAATCATTTTCTATCCCAAATGGCTAAATATGTAGACATAAAAGATATAACCACAGAATTCACTCTGCTAAGAAATTATTGAGGGTCCATTTTACAAAACCAATGCATGCTGTCGAATATTGTGCATTACGATGTCTGCTCTTTTAAATTGACAGCATTTAAGTTTATTATGTATAAAATTTGTTTTGGAAGAAATGTAATTTCTCACACGAATGTGTAAATGAGGTTACTGTTATCTAGGTAGTGTGCAGCTGAGTTACTTTGAAATGCATCCACATTATA